TTTGGCGATGGATGAAGTTCGGGTCAGCTCTACCTCAGCAATTACGCCGCAGAGAGCACATGACACTGGAAGCGGCACTAGCCGACAACCAGCAGCACCTGCGGTGGTACCTGGCCGCCCAATTGCCTCAGTGGCTTTGACGTTATCCGTCGGTGGTCATTGCGCACTAGCTTTGCCAGATGACCCAATCACTGACCCAAAGTGGACCTTCACTGCTGCATTTGCTGACTGTTACGTTGGGGCGGTTAGGTCGGGTCCGGGTTGCAGCTTCCATTCCAGCGGGTCGGAGGTAGGTTTTCCCGGTCTAGCTGCACGGTGACCTTGTGGGCACTTGCAGTGCTGCACATGGCGGACTGATTGACACGGCGCAAACGCGCTAATCCTGATTAGATTTGTCTCTACCGGCGGAGGGATCCCACCTTTCTCTACGACTTCTGAAAAACATCTACAGACATTCAACTTCTGCACCGCAGCGCAGGCACTCGACCTCCAGCTTGGACGCACCTTCCTATATTCCAGCTCGGCGACAGCTTCAAGATCTATACACAATCACTCTTCTTGGTGCGCGTCGTGGTATCTTGCGAAACGCGTGTAAGTCGCGTAAAGTGATTTACGGCCATCAAGATGGCGCCCTCTCGCTCAAGAGCTGCCGTGGTCGACACCGACGCGTCAATGTCCGACGCCCCAGAAGTCAACCATGCCGAAGAGATGGTACGTTGCAATCTTTCAGGTCCTACCGTTGTTGCGGTGTTAGGCCCCGCGACAGCCCCCTACAAACGAAGCCCTGCAGCTGACGTGCATATAGGAGGTCGACGAGACTCCCGACTACACCGACTCAGACACCAATCCGAATACCACAGCTAGTAGCGTTGCTGGCGAGCCCGTTGGAGATGGTCGCAAAAGACGTTCCGAAGCCAATCAGCTGCGTCGCAGCATCTTCGGCAAAAAGCACGACAGACTGGGCGAATCCAAGGTACTTGCAAGCCCAAACAATTATTTCTTGGATGGGAGACCTTCGGTTTGCGGACGCTAATTGATACTTTTGAACAGGAAGAGGACAGTATTCGACGGTTCCGATACCTGCTTGGCCTGACAGACCTTTTCCGCCACTTCATCGAAACAAACCCCAACCCTAAAATCCGCGAAATCATGACCGAGATTGATCGACAGAATGCGGAAGCTTCAAAAAGCAAGAAGGGCGGGGCGCGTCAAGGAGGCGCGAACAATGAGAGACGCCGTCGGACCGAAGCCGAGGAAGATGCCGAGCTTCTTCGCGATGAGAAGCACGGAGGCTCTGCCGAGACCGTCTTCCGCGAGTCACCCGCCTTCATTCAGGGAACCATGAGAGACTACCAGGTCGCTGGTCTTAACTGGCTGATCTCTCTCCACGAGAACGGTATCTCGGGCATTCTTGCTGACGAGATGGGTCTTGGCAAGACACTGCAGACGATTTCCTTCTTGGGCTACCTGCGGCACATCATGGACATCACTGGACCTCACATCGTTATTGTTCCCAAGTCGACATTGGACAACTGGAAGAGAGAATTTGAGAAGTGGACGCCCGAAGTCAACGTGCTTGTGCTTCAGGGTGCCAAGGAGGAGCGCCACAACCTCATCAATGATCGATTGGTCTCAGAGGACTTTGATGTCTGCATCACGAGTTACGAGATGGTTCTGCGCGAGAAGGCACACCTCAGGAAGTTCGCTTGGGAATACATCATCATCGACGAGGCGCACCGTATCAAGAACGAGGAATCATCGTTGGCCCAGGTCATCCGTCTGTTCAACTCCCGAAACAGACTACTCATCACCGGTACACCCCTCCAGAATAACCTGCATGAGCTGTGGGCTCTGCTCAACTTCTTGCTTCCCGACGTCTTTGGTGACTCTGAAGCTTTCGATCAATGGTTCTCTGGCCAGGATCGTGACCAGGACACGGTCGTTCAGCAGCTTCACCGCGTGTTGAGACCGTTCTTGCTTCGGAGAGTCAAGAGTGATGTGGAGAAGAGTCTTCTGCCCAAGAAGGAGGTCAACGTTTACCTGGGTATGTCTGAGATGCAGATCAAGTGGTATCAAAAGATCCTGGAGAAGGACATTGACGCCGTCAACGGTGCCAACGGAAAGCGCGAGTCCAAGACAAGACTTCTGAACATTGTGATGCAGCTGCGAAAGTGCTGCAACCACCCTTACCTGTTCGAAGGAGCTGAGCCCGGTCCGCCGTATACCACTGACGAGCATCTCGTTTACAATGCCGGCAAGATGGTTGTTCTTGACAAGCTTTTGAACAGAATGCAGAAGCAAGGTAGCAGAGTTCTCATCTTTTCTCAGATGAGTCGTCTCTTGGACATCCTTGAGGATTACTGCGTCTTCAGGCAGTACAAGTACTGCCGTATTGATGGTGGCACGGCACACGAGGACCGTATTGCTGCCATCGACGAGTACAACAAGCCGGGGTCTGAGAAGTTCATCTTCCTGCTCACCACAAGAGCCGGAGGTCTCGGCATCAATCTTACCACTGCTGATATCGTTGTCCTCTACGACAGCGATTGGAACCCTCAAGCTGACCTGCAGGCCATGGATCGTGCTCATCGTATCGGCCAAACCAAGCAAGTTGTTGTGTATCGATTCGTTACGGATAACGCGATCGAAGAGAAGGTCTTGGAGAGAGCAGCCCAAAAGCTCCGTCTGGACCAGCTTGTTATCCAGCAAGGTCGGGCTCAGACGGCTGCGAAGGCGGCTGCAAACAAGGATGAACTGTTGTCCATGATCCAACACGGTGCCGAGAAGGTGTTCCAGAGTAAGGGCGCCACCGGTTCCCTAGCCTCCAAGGGTGCCGATGTCGAAGAGGACGATATTGATGAGATTCTCGCCTCTGGTGAGACGAGAACCAAGGAGCTGAATGCCAAGTATGAGAAGCTCGGCATTGACGATCTGCAGAATTTCACTTCCGAATCTGCTTACACTTGGAATGGCGAGGACTTCAAGACCAACAAGAAGGACATCGGTATGAACTGGATCAACCCGGCCAAGCGTGAGAGAAAGGAGCAGTCCTACTCCATGGACAAGTATTTCCGGCAGACAATGTATCCTCCAAAGGAGAAAGACAACAAGCCCAAGGCGCCCAGGGCGCCGAAGCAAGTTCCCGTCCACGACTACCAGTTCTACCCGGTTCGTCTCCGAGAGCTCCAGGACCGTGAGACGGCGTACTATCGCAAGGAGATTGGCTACAAGGTCCCTCTCCCCGATGGCGAGGATGACAAGCTGGAGGAAAGAGAGCAAGAGCGTGCCTTGGACCAACAGGAAATCGATGATGCTACGCCGCTGAACGAAGAGGAGCTGGAGGAGAAGCAACGACTGTCGCAACAAGGCTTCGGCGAGTGGAACCGTCGTGACTTCCAGCAGTTCATTAATGCCTCTGGTCGCTACGGTCGCAACGATTACGAGAGCATTGCTGAGGACATTAACGACAAGACGGCCGCTGAGGTCAAGCAGTATGCCAAGGTCTTCTGGCAGCGTTACACGGAGATCGCCGACTACAACAAGTACATCAAGGTTATCGAAGACGGCGAGGAGCGCATGCGCAAGATCGAGCACCAACGGAAGCTGCTTCGCAAGAAGATGTCCCAGTACCGCGTCCCCTTGCAGCAACTGAAGATCAATTACTCTGTCTCAACTACCAACAAAAAGGTATACACGGAGGAGGAGGACAGATTCTTGTTGGTGCTGCTCGATAAGTTCGGCATTGACTCCCCTGGCTTGTACGAGAAGATGCGTGACGAGATCTCTGTGAGCCCTCTGTTCCGCTTCGACTGGTTCTTCCTCAGCAGGACGCCTGTAGAGCTCAGCCGTCGTTGCACCACGCTTTTGACTACAATCGTCAAGGAGTTCGAGGATGTCCATCCGACTAAGGGCGCGAACGGTGTCAACGGCAAGGTTAAGAGAGAGGCCGCCGATGACGAGGAGAACGATGAGGACAGCATTCTCGGCATGGCTCCCGCTAAGAAGAAGGCCAAGAACGGCGTCAAGGTAAGAGTCAGAAGAAAGGCTAGTACGTGAATATGGCTAACAAGAAGTTCAGAATAAGGCTTTGGACAACGTCAAGTCAGAAGCGGGCAGCAAGAACACATCTGCAGCACCCTCAAGAGCGTCGAGCGTCGCTTCTACGAAATCCACAACCAATGCGAAGAGCAAAACCAAGGGCAAGAAGAAATAGACGGTTGGGTCAGCTACATGATTTCACACGGTTCTTTTGGTGCGGGTAAAGCTTCACCTGGCGGTGGCTGTGATAGAAAAGGCGTTTGGTCTGGTACGACCCTGAGTTGTTATTTCTAGGAGATTCTTACATGGCTTTCGCGATAGATGGCCTCGACTTTTGCCGGTGTGTACTTTGTAGTAAATCATATTTTACGAGAATGAAATTGCTCTCCGGAGTTGCAGAATCTTTTGCGGCCCCTTAGTACGTCCGTATTGCTAAGTTCCCTGTTACGTGAATTTTCTGGCTCGCTTCTCGTGTGCGGTCTAAGAAAAATATTTGTACACTCTCTCGCTGTCTATAGTGGCAGCGAGCTCTGGCTTCGGCTACTGGGGGTACATATAAGGTTATCATAAAAATCGGGTCTTAGTAAGGACGTCGCCTGGATGAGAGGAAGCTATTCGATCCTCGTTAAGCTGACTCAAATATGGGGCTATCACTGAGGGCGCAGAAGGTCGTGAACTGGGGAGGGAAAGAGTCAATTCGATAACTAGGAGAGCACTGAAGGGACCGGCAAAGCGGCCCTCGTTCAGGCCTTGGTGATCGGAGCTCCTCCGGACAATCCTCAGTGCAAGCTTTGCCTTATTTTGAAGAAATAATACCCGGCGGACTGTTCGAGCTACTTCTTCACTTGCACGCGTGTTCCAATTGCTGCCACCTCTGCGTCCCTGAACGCATCAAAGCTTATCGGAATTCACATCGTCGTCTACCTGTAAAGAATCATCGCCGCGAGATCCAAAAATAAACACTCCTCATGTGGGACTCGAACCCACAACCTTCCGATTTCAATGGCCTTGTGCAAGCCGTAAAAGTCGGACGCGCTAAACCGATTGCGCCAATGAGGACGCTGTGTACACGGAACACCCGTTCACCGATGATTCTCCGTTGCCAAAAGTTGACTCTTATAGTCCAGACGGTGGAAACAAGTAAGCTTGCACGACTGAGCTAAAGCGACTTTCTGTAGGCGATCCCAGGCTGAGCGATCGACGCATGCGCTGCGACGCATTCATTTGGCGTCGACAAGTTGCTGGTAGAGTTCCCAGGTCTTGAACTTTTTTTTTAGGTAGCTATGGCTTCTGCAACTGGGATACTTCGATGGTGAAGGGGGATGGAACCGCAACTGCCTCTGTTGGATCCAAACGAACGTCATTCTGCCCCGCACTAGCACCAAATGGAACGCAAGAAGCACTGCCCCTCCATACGGACCAGGATCGCCAGGTCCCAGGTCCAGGTTCCCACATTGTCGACCGCCATTGCGTTGCCTGGGGAAGGTGACACTTGACCCATTTCACCTCTCCAAACATTTTGGAATCATTCGTTGTTCTCTCATTGTGTCTTGATCTCAGTAGCAAACTTTCACACAGGCTTTCTGGACATTTGGCTCCATCATGTCTGTCAACATCGAAAAGATCCTAGCTGCCTCGCCCGCCACGCAGCGAGGCCAGCCAACACAGCTTTCGACCGACAAGAAGGGCGAGCGTATCGCGTACGCGGTCAGTTGATTCAGGCTGTCTAGATTCGATGATGATTCGCGACTAACAACAATGCACATACAGGCCGGCAAATCCATCTTCCTCAGATCAATCGACAACCCTTCCGTAAGCAAGCAATACACCGGCCACACGGCCCAAACCAGCGTCGCTCGCTTCTCTCCAAGCGGCTTTTACGTGGCCAGTGGTGACGTGTCGGGTTCTGTACGAGTCTGGGACGCGGTCGAGGCCGAAAATACAAAGGGTACACTATGATCTCCAGCTTGCCCAGCTTAACCCGCTGACACATGGCCAGGCGAGTACCACATCATCTCGGGCCGCATCAACGACATCGGATGGGATGGCGACTCCCAGCGCATCATCGCAGTCGGAGACGGCAAAGAGCGATTCGGACACTGCATTACGGCAGACAGTGGCAACTCGGTGGGCGAAATCAGCGGTCACTCAAAAGTTGTCAACTCCGTCGCCGTAAGGCAACAACGTCCGCTGCGCGCTGCAACCGTCTCGGACGACAGTTCCATCTGCTTCTTGCACGGAGCCCCTTTCAAGTTCAACTCTAAGCACGCCTCTATTCACCGTGGCTTCGTCTTCGGAACCGCCTTCTCTCCTGACGGCAGCCTACTTGTGACGGTCGGCGCAGACAAGCGTATTCAGCTGTATGATGGTAAGACGGGCGAACCAACAAAGCAGATCGGCGAGGGAGAGCACACTGGCAGCATTTTTGCCGTCTCTTGGTCCGAGGACGGCGCCAAGTTCGTCACTGCCAGCGCGGATCAGACGGTCAGAGTCTGGGATGTCGAGTCTGGCAAAGCGACGCAGACGTGGAAGTTCGGCGATGGCGTTAGCATTGGTGATCAGCAAGTCGGTGTCGTATGGCCACACGGACGAAGCGATGGCTTGATCATCAGCTTGAACCTCGATGGCGACCTGATTTACCTGAACGAGGGAAGCGACAAGCCTAGCAGAATCGTGCAGGGACACAACAAGAACATCACAGCCCTTGGGACTTCATCTGATGGACAGGGCAAGACGCTGTGGACCGGAAGCTTCGACGGCCGTGTCTGCCAATGGGATGTCGAATCCGGTGTTGGAAGTGTTGTTGACGGCCAGGCGCACTCGAACCAGGTCACTCAGTTTAGCGCTGAAGCTGGACAGACCTTCAGTGTTGGCTGGGATGACACTCTCCGGACTGTCGATGAGTCTGCCAACACCTTCGTTGGCGATTCCGTCAAGCTCTCTGCGCAACCTAAGGGTGTTGCGGCTACAAATGGAAAGCTGTACGTGGCGACTACCGAGGGAGTGGACGTCTACGAGAAGAACAAGCTGGTGGCGGAGAACCGTCTCGGATATGCTCCTCTCGCCGTTGGCGCATATGGCTCAACTGTAGCGGTTGGTTCCGGCAACTCAGTCAAGATTTACACCGCGGACGGCTCTGGGAAGCTCTCCGAGGTCAAGTCGCTCGACAAGTCTACCTCTCAGATCTCCTGTCTTTCCTTCTCCAAGGATGGCCAATATCTTGCTGTCGGAAACCAGATCGGCAAGATTGTGGCGTATAAGTCAGGTGACTGGGAGGTCGCCACTGACAGATGGTCAGCGCATACCGCGAGGGTCACTTGCATCAGCTGGAATGATGCAGCAACCCACGTGGTATCTGGAGCTTTGGACACGAACGTGTATGTGTGGAGCTTGGCGAAGCCTGGTAGCCGTGTCAAGGCTCTTAACGCACACAAAGACGGCGTCAACGGCGTTGCCTGGGTTGGAGATGGTTCCAAGGTGGCAAGTGTGGGAGTTGATGCTGCGATTAAGGTCTGGGCTGTGTCTGGACTTCAGTAGTTTCCTGTTTCTCTGTAGACTATTGTCTTGTAGAGTCATGATGACTGAATGAAAAGCGAAATGACGTTACACCAACCAACGCCTGTTAAAATGGGGTATCTCCGTGTCTAAAAGCCAGTTTCTTTTCCGATCATACCGTCCATACCAACCATCTTCCCCCCTTTTCTCGGCTCGTGATTCATCAATTCATGCCGAAGTAATATCGGGAAGGTGTCCACTGCATGGGAATCTAGCCCATCGTCATCTGAGCCACCTCCTCACGCTGGACCTCCCCCGAGCCCCCATTGCCCGCACCTGTCTTGTTTGTAGGCTGAGGTGTCTCTACAGCGTAGCGTCCCAGCATAGCACTGGTGACCTGCCACAAATCGACGTTGAGAGGCTCGGCGTCTTCCTTCACGGAGTGAGGCTTGAACTGCACCTTGGTCTTATCAAGCTGCAGAACAAGCTGCTCCAGTGCGTATGAGATGTCACCGAGACGGCCCCAGATCCCGTAACCCTGGCGCTGGATCTCCTCGGCCAGCTCGACTTGGTGGTTGTCCTTGAGGGTCGGGTTCGGGACGACGACGAGGGGGACGTTGACGCGCATGCCGTCGAGGATGGTTCCGGTGCCTTCATGTATCATCTGTCAGCTTGGTATTCCATCATTGGGCCCAATTCAACTGGGCATTCTCATGACATACCTGCATGGCAGATCACAACCCCTCTTTCACAGCCAGCAGCGGCTTGGCACTTTGTCATTTCGACGGTGAGATCATCGACGAAGTCGAAGGCAGTGATCTCGAGCGGTGGCCAGCGAGAAACTAGCGTGGGGAGAATATTTCGAGAGAAATGCTCATAGTCTTTGCCGCATTGGAGGGTCAGGTGGGTGTAGCGGTCGCCAACGAGGAAGTCGAGGAAGGTAGGCGAGACGACTTCAGTGAGCAGTTGGGTAAAGCGGGCGGTTGCGCCGACAGTGACAAGGCAATGCCGCTCAAGCTTAGGGTTCTCAGCAGACATTATGAGGTGCGGTCGAGAGAGAGTCTGTTGGAAGAGGAGGAGGTTTGTGATGTTGAGGCTGCGAGCACGACGCGCGATGTTTGATGAATGAGTTGAGCTCGTGAGAGCTTCCCGGTGACGTTGAATTAGGTAGGTACTGCACTGTGGCACAGCCGATCAGGGTCCACTAGCGGGGTTGTTTGAGCACGCGGGGGGTTACAGGGTGGTGCCTTGAAGTACTTAGCCCCAACGGCTGTTATGTTTAGGGTCACCACCAGTGGACGGCTAGGTTCTTTTCCAACTCAGTCCTTTAGCTCCCACCTTCTCATTCTCCAGAGACAATGCAGGTGAGCTTATCCAATTAGAAACGTCACTTCTGACCACTATGAATGGGCATTCATTATTCCTTAATGCCCGCCTCCTTTTAATATTATTTCTTGCCCTTTCAGTGTCTGTCTACTCAGACATATCTTGTTTAATTGCTACCTGCACATATCGGCTGTCGGCCCGATCTCTCCAAAAAGGCTCGACTCCCATCTCCCGGAACCTCTTTTTCTCATAGACCTTGGTCACCATCCAACTACTCACACACATAACCACCACGATGGCAATGATGCCGAAGCAAGCAATGAGAGGAGCCAGTATAGAGAAGACGGTGAAGCCGTAGCTCACGCTCTGGAACAACTTGTCGCCCACGAGCTGATCAGTGGCCAGTCCAACTTGCATCGCTGTGAGGACAATGACGACATAACCAAGAACCGCAGCCAGCGCCGCAAAGTTGTCCCGGAGCAGGTCCTCATAAACCGCATGGGAAGCAACCTTGGAGTAACCCCGGAGCAAATACCCCAGGCGGACCCGATAGATCTTGTTCAAGCGGCTCAGTCGGAGCTCGCCGTACCAGTAGCGCGGGTTTACGGACGCATAACAGTGGTTCTGCACGATTTGCGCCGATAATGCCCTCCACCGGTCCCAGCTGACTTGCGGCGGCATGAGGCCCCTTTCAACGGCTATGCGGAAGTCGCTCTCGTACGCGACGAGGGCCGTGTAGGAGAACAGGAATCCGAGCGCGCAGGCGACCAGCTCCCTTCGCGGATCGGACTGATGTCTCTTTCCGTCACTACTGCTGGTGCCGTCGTCGGTGGTGGTGGTGGTGACAAGCAGGTGTGCGGCCCAGAAGTCTGGGTCCAGCAGCCACCGGGGTATCGGCTTGACGAAGATGCGGTTCTTGGCCCATACTAGGTGAAGTTCGGGGTTCTCTGTGACATGAATCTCCCGCGAGGTGAGCAACTGATAGTGGAGGGGCCTCGGGGGCATCGGACGCCCGCAAATCCAGAGGAGGTCCTGGACATCGTTCAGACGTCGGACGAAGAGCTCTCGGCCCAGGAACTCTGGGTCGTCGGCTCGCGGCACGATTATGTGGTCGTGTTGTGCTCGGCTGGTTGCCGGGAGGACGTCGCCAAAGGCTCCGGGCGGCGAGGCCCTTGCGGGAGTGGTTGCATGATTGAAGCCGTCATCGAGGACGCGGACGGTGAAAGGCACAGACGCCG